GTACACATGCACCAAAATTTGAAAACAGTTACAAGCTGTGGATGGATCAATCTGTCGTCCAGTAGAGGAGAAACTTGGAAACAACATGAAACTTAAATGCTTTACCAGTTCTTAGATTCTGTATTTTGCCAGCATGCTATAAAGTTTAACACACAGAATCATGAAGTACAATTGGCATAAGAAACAGTTTTATAATTACATATGAATTTCCTTTATTCTTTAACAGAATATGGCAGTAACCTGAAATATAATTTTTCGTGTCTGTAAAAAAAAATTGCAAGTATTTACCTATACATATTTTGTTTTCAAAACTGTTGTACAATTAAAACTTTTGTCTTTATTTCATCATTTTATGTGAATCTTTCAGATTAGTATATCTCTTAAATGAATTTATTTTTCAAAAGAAATTGTCTTCCTAACTCTATATGCCAAATACAATAGTGTAAATTGATATGTTCTTTACTTAACAGTATTGTGTAAGCCAGGTCTTTTTCTGAGTCTCTAGCTAGAAATTAAAACAACAGCAACAAAAACAAAAAATTCTGCTTAAGTATTACATGAATCGGATGATTATAATTATTTAAAGTTCTGTGAAATGGATTGTGACTTCTGACAGCATTGGAATACTTCAAGATTCTGGCTTTTTCACTAAAATGCTTCATTCAGTCTTCCACTATAATTAAAAACATCATTTTTTTTCCCTTTCTGACAACCCTCTGTGTATTGGATTTGGCTAGAGTTGTTTTATCACAAAATATACAGCATCAAAGCTGAATGTAGAATTCTAAACTCTGTGAATGGACCTAGGAGGGCAATTAAAAATAGACAGCTTTCTCCTGGTGACCCAATTAGCTCCCTGGCTTTCCTGTCCTTGAAAAGGATAGAGAAAGCTCTGCTCTGTTTTATCACGTTACCCATCCATCTCCATCCCACCAGTGGTACTTCAGGTACTTGCCACCAGTTAAATGGCATAATCTTTCCAGAGTCATTTATCCTCCGTTTTTGGAGTTATGTGAGCATATTTTGGTAAGTGTGGGTACTTGAGACTACCAATTACAGAGTATGAAATCTTATTTTTTGACTCTTATTTTAAAATACATGATTATTGAGCCTTGCCATTATGTCTACCCCTGGCTTTTATTTTAGATTGACGAATTTGTATTATCCCAGTTACAAAGGTTCGAAATAACCGAAGAACAACTAGATACTAATGCATTCGGTCATTTAACTACTATTTATTGAGTTTATTGTATTTGCCAAGAAACAAGCTAGACACTAGGGATAGAAATAGAGGTGCCTTTTATCATTTCAGAACCACTCTGTGCTTCCTCTCTAAGTTTTCTCCTCATTTGTACATGATGGAGAGATTTTTTTTTTCTTTACCCCAGCACTCCCAGGTCTTTTCATGGCTCCTGCTTAGTAAACTGCTGCCATACCTTTGTTGTATTTTGAGAATTTCCTGTGATGGCCACCTCTTTCATCTAGAGACAGTCTCTTTACTTCTCCCTGAATCAACTTTGATTTGCTGATCACAGTTTTGCGCTAATGCATTGTTTTGTCTGCTTCTTGACACTGGTATGTATCCTCCCTTGACAAAAGGAAAGGATGCTGTATTAATGCAGATTTAATGCGATTTTAGCTTTCTCAGAATATTCCTCCTGCAGCTGCATTTTATAATCTGCTTCTTCCCCCACCTCAACACCATCAATACCAACCTCAGAAAAAGACCTTGATTTTGTTTCTGTTTTATTGAATATTTAAAAAATGTATTTAAATAATATACCTTGTTATGAATGAATGCATCATCAATCTCTATTGCAGATTCTTCTTAATTGGGGTAATGGTGTAATTCTACCATTTATTTCTGATGGTATTGACATATTAAATTCTTCCCTTTAAGTATGCACAACTTTGCAAAATACAATACTTTCTTAACAGTAAGAGACTAGAAAATTTAATTTTTTAATTCACTAGAAAAGAGGCAATGATTTAATCTGAGAACATTCTTAGTAACAAAGTTCTGGGAACATATAAAAATTAATTATCCTACTGTTCCTATTTTCTTGAAGCAGTTTTTACTCACTCGTATATTAGATGCCAAAGCAGATGGGGATAGCAGTTTCTTCGTGAACTGTCGTGAATGTAAACATTTATGTTTGGTTTTCACAACGTTAATGTTTAATACTCAGCATTTGCTTTGCAACCATGTGAGAAGGGAAACCATCCGTATGATGAAGTAGATCCCTTCTGTGTTGAGTAAAATGAATTAGATTAATCATGTTATATTTAACAGAAATGTGATTGCCTTTGGGATTTATGTAAATTGCATTTGTCTCAATAATATTTTTCCAAATTGGTTTAGGATATCATTTAATTCTTAATATAAGAAAAGTACTCTTATCACTATACTACCATTTAGTCACTTTACAGATGGTAATATTTGACATGAACTTGCTGTGTTAGTTTGCACCAGACAGGAGGATGTTTCACTAGTTTGTCAAATACATATGTCTGGTTTGCATAGACTTGATTTATCCTAAATTCGTGGTTAAAAAGAAAGAAAAAAACTCACTTTATTGTGTACTGTCTTTCTCTTGCTGCAGAAAGTTGGCTGTGATGGTTTATTAGGGTCTCTTGCAAGGGAAGATCATTGTGGTGTGTGCAATGGCAATGGGAAATCGTGCAAAATCATTAAGGGAGATTTTAATCACACCAGAGGAGCAGGTAATTATTTTTTAATTTTTTCAAAGTTAATCACAATAACAATCTTTGAGGGCAAAGATAACATTGAACTTGACTTAGAAATTCCAGTTCTGATTCTGTTGAAAACTTTTGTAATGGATATTGAGTGATTTCTCGTGATGACATACAATACATGTGATATGAGCCAGAAATTCTAACAAGCCCATTTCCCAACACTAAGCGTATGAAGTCATCTGTTGTGCATTTAATAAATTGGAGCAGCAAGGGAAAAATCTAATTTGCATTGGCTAATGTTATCAGGTTTCTACGGACTTATCCTCCAATGCAAACTATGATGTCTAACAGAGAATAATGATTTGTAACAGCCTGAAGCAACTATTGAGAGTTTTAGTCTTCAGGTCTTCAGCTTTCCACTTTCTTTATTTTTTCTTAATATTTTTACTAAATTTGAAGTGAATAAATTTTTGAAAACAGGAGTCTATGGCAATGTGGCATGTTGGGAACTATAACAGGGAGTCAAAAGATGTGGCTGATGTTCCAGGCATATTAATGGTGGGAACTCATTCTCTTTTCTCTTCTTTCCTCATCTCTAAGTACTGATACTCAGGGGATACAAGGATGAACTGACGATGATCTACACAGTGTGAATTTCAAAGTGAACCACAACAAAAAAGTGATAATATCTGTGCAGAAATATAATGACCCACAAGTATGCTTTATATACAGAAAATGCTTTCTACTCAGGCCCTCATGGTTACTGGGAAGAAACAAACTTTCTGTGTTTACAGTAATGTCTTACCTGGACATCTTTCTTTTGAACTTAGTATTTATGATTATTTTTTGTCATCATTAGTATGCTTACATTACATACATCACCTTTTTCCTGTTTTAAGTTTCTTCCTTGTTCAAACACCAGAAGACCAGACAGGAAAATATATATTTGTTTTAATACAAGGAGTAAGCCATTTGTATTTAAATAATCAAGAAGACTGAGTTCATTCTGATTGTTAAAAAGTCCTTCAGAGAAGAAAATTAGACACAGCCCTCTAAAGTTGAATACAGTCTTTTCCTAGGTCCCAGCAGAATAAAAGATAAGTGAGCTCGAAGAACTTGAGGCCTAAAAATTAACTAAAGCCCAGGGTAAATTGTAGATCAAAATCTCAGTCGCCAAAGCTGTGAAAAAAGGTGATAGGTCCTACAAGTCAAAAGCTGTCAGATCTCATTTAGAAAAGTCAGACTAAGCTGTAGCAGGCTCCCAGACTTTCAAATAAGAGGTGCAGTTATAATAAGCTTTTCAGCCTGATTGTGGTGGGAGAAGTTTTTAAGTGCAGAAGTTCAGATGAAATCTGAAAGACTGAAGAGATTGAAGGATACTAGAATTTTTGAAGAGTAGTCTTACATAGTTACTTAATATGCTTGGAAGCAGGAAACTGTAGAATACTGATGCGCATTTAGCACTGATACCTTTTTTTAATTGTAACAACACTTCACTTTTCCACTAAGCAGGGAAAACAGAAATACCAGTTAAAAATCAGTGACGTGGTGTTTATTCTGACTGCTGTTTTGTGGATACGTTTTCCCCCAGGTTCCTACTTCAAACCTCCTTTGTTTTTATTGCACTTTAATTTCTACTTTTGTTCATTAGTCTGTTTGTAAGCTACATTAATGGCATCTGTTATTTGGAAAATGTCTAAAATGTAACCATATGCCAGAGACTAACTATACATTGCTCACAGGGAAGAGACTAGAATTCTTAACTTGGACATAAGGCCAAAGTGTTGTTCCTGCCTGATGCTGTTCCTACTTGCTCTCTGACATCATTTCAGATCAAGGTCTCTTTCCTTCCCTAAGCTGTAGCCACCAGATTTGTTACAGATGCTCAAGCTGACTGTGCTTCCTCCAGCACCTTGCATTTAAAAATACGGTTCTGTGAGCTTCCTCTTAGCTTTGCTGGGTTAATTCCTGGACATCAGTTAGATCTCAGTTCAAATGTCCTTTCTTCAGGGAAGCACTCCCTGAACAACCTCCATCTCCTATCACTGATTAGTTTACTGATGTGTACCGTGTCTGTGTTTGGACAGTTCAGCTGTGTTGTAATTTTGTCATGTTACACTCACTGGTCTTTTCTTTCCCAATAGACTTTCAGATCAGTGAGGAAAAATATCATGGCTATTTTTGCTCAGTGCCATATTCCCAATGGCCAGCATAGTATGTGATCCATTAACATTTGTTAATTTAATTAATAATGAAACATTACCATGTTAAGAACTTTACAAAACAAAAATCTGTATGAGTCCTTAATTTATCTTGGGCTTCATCTACTTGTGGCTTTAGGAATGTTGTATTCATTTCTCTTGAGACAATTTTATCCTTACAGTTTATGGACTTCCTAGAATCTCTTAAAGGAATTGCAGCCTTATTTGATCCAGTTGGCCAGGCACTCTGTATATATTGTATGAGTAACACATGTGCAGACACATGTGGGTGTTTTCAGTCCCTGTGCTCTATTTAGAGTTTGCTAAATCATTTTTGTTGGAGCTAGAAAATAAGAAGAGAAATTTTTTTTTTCCTTAGTGCATTTATCATGTCTTTCCTTGTAACTTGCCTGGCCGTCGGATAATTTTTTAGGGGCTTTTTAAAGGTAACTTGTATATTTGGCCAGTTGTGGAACTATATAGTTATCAGTATACACTTAGAAGAAGGTGGGCATAAAGTCTGTTATTCTTAGTACAAGCGATGATGATACTAATCCTGTATAAGGAACACATGCTCTTAGACCTTTTATTCGTATGTGCGCCACAGCCTTAGTCATAGTGCGATGTGTTCTACTCTGTGAAATAGCAGCAGGGAGCCACAGCTGGAAGCAAAGAGTGGAATCAGATCTGAATTCAAAGCTTGGTTGGGTCAGCTCATTAGCAACAAGGCGGTCTTGAAAGAGGCCGTTAATCTATTAAGTATCTGCTTTGGATGATATCATTATGGCTAAATGTAATGATTTACATAAATTATCTGTAATAGTGACTAGCACATAGCAGTTGCTCAAAATGCAGCATTTAGCATTATTACTACCATGAAGATAATGATTGCTGTTGGCATTTTAAGAAGGCTGATTAAGAATGGGATTACAGGTTGTAAAATAGGATGTTCCTACATACAAAGTAAACTGTCCAAGGTGAGGGTCAAATTTATGACATTGACATAGGCTGTATTTCAACTTCTAAGCTTGGCAATAGCCACTCCTCTACTTACTTCTTTTATAGATATGCCTTCCTAAGTGTGCTAAATGGCTTATTTAAAGTGGCTTGTGAAAAATATGTAGAGCCCCAGCCTTTGGCTATCCCTCTTCCAGTGTCTTTGCTTAATATTTTTCTTCCTCTCTTTCTTCTTTAAACTCAGTCTCACTGTCCTCCAGGTCATTTCAGTTGAGTAATAGAGAGCTGCTCTGGATTGAGCCATAAACTTGGATATAACTCTTGTCCTAAAATACAGCATCCCTCTGAGTTTACTGTTAAACTCAAACAGAAATTTACAGTCACTCCCTCTGCTTTTCTCTTTCTTCTCTGCCATTTTAACATCCTGAAATCTAGCATCTTCTCCAAACACTTTCCTAAATTTATTTGCCCAGAGGTGAACAGTGCCTCTTGATTGTGACAGCCCGTGAACTCTCCTTAGTCACCTTTCTCTCTCATTTCTGTACAGCTTTTTATACCCTTGACCTACAACTCTTCTTAAAAGAATCTAATGCAGGAGATCCCACTACACCCAAATCACCCGATTTCCACCTTATCGTGATTCCTTCTTTATATTCTTTCCTGATTCTTTTTTCAGTCTCTCTGTTAAAAAAACTGTCACCAAGGTTGAATCCTTGATGTCTCCTCTCTCTTAATTTCCTCCACTTACTCCTTGGCTTAAATTACTGCCTCACAGAGTTACTTCAATAGCACGACCTTTTCCTGAAGTTCCAGATGTTCCAGAGATTTTACTGGATATTTTTACTAGATGTTATACCAATTTGTTAAATACAAATTGCAAAGCCAGATTTATTAGATTATTACTCAAACTTGGCTTTGTGTTTCAGTACATGATGGTCCCATTCTCACATAAGTAATAATAAAGCATTGTGTGTTCAGTGTTTATTTCCCCACTTTGTATTGGTTCTCAAATTCAGAATTTTTTTTCTTCACAATGCCTTCTGGATTTTCTGCCTTAGGCTCTAGCACTCCTGGAGTTTTATATTAGCTTCCTGACACTGGCACCCACAGCTGTGTGGCTGGGTATCCTGTGCACTCCTGTCAGATAAAGCCTCTCCAAACCGGTATCTAATTACCAAGTTCCTTGCTGTAGAATGTTCAGTAGCTTCAGACTGATACATTCAGTGTCCTAGGCATGTGTTTAAACTCTCTTAATAGAGCCATCTTCTCATTCTGTCAGAATTATTTTATGTGCTACTAAAAATATCACTCACTACGTTACTTTTCTTTGCATGCAGTGAACTCGTTCTTTTTCTGAATACAGTTGACTCTTGAATGACAAAGGTTTCAACAACATGGGTCTATTTATATGTGGATTTTTTTTTAACTTTTTTTATTGAGTTATAGGTATTTTACAATGTTGTGTCAAATTCCAGTGTAGAGCACAATTTTTCAATTATATGTGAACATGCATATATTCATTGCCACATTTTTTTTCACTGTGAGCTACTACAAGATCATGTATATATTTCCCTGTGCTATACAGTATAAACTTGTTCATCTATTCTACAATTTTGAAATCCCAGTCTATCTCTTCCAACCCCCCCCCGCCCCCTTGGCAACCACAAGTTTGTATTCTATGTCTATGAGTCTGTTTCTGTTTTGTATTTATGTTCATTTTTTGTTTTAGATTCCACATATGTGCAATCTCATATGGTATTTTTCTTTCTCTTTCTGGCTTACTTCACTTAGAATGACATTCTTCAGGGACATCCATGTTGCTGCAAATGGTGTTATGTTGTCATTTTTATGGCTGAATAGTATTCCAATGTCTAAATATACCACAGCTTCTTTATCCAGTCATCTGTTGATGGACATTTAGGCTGTTTCCATGTCTTGGCTATTGTAAATAGTGCTGCTATGAACATTGGGGCACAGGTGTCATTTTGAAGTAGGGTTCCTTCTGGATAGATGCCCGGGAGCAGGATTCCTGGGTCCTATGTTAAGTCTATTCCTAGTCTTTTGAGGAATCTCCATACTGTTTTCCACAGTGGCTGCACCAAACTGCATTCCCACCAGCAGTGTAGGAGGGTTCCCTTTTCTCCACAGCCTTGCCAGCATTTGTCATTTGTGGACTTTTGAATGATGGCCATTCTGACTGGTGCGAGGTGATACCTCATCATAGTTTTGGTTTGCATTTCTCTGATAATTAGTGAAATTGAGCATTTTTTCATGTGCCTATTGATCATTTGTATGTCTTCCTTGGAGAATTGCTTGTTTAGGTCTTCTGCCCATTTTTGGATTGGGTTGTTTGTTTTTTTTCTTATTAAGTCGTATGAGCTGCTTATGTATTCTGGAGATCAAGCCTTTGTTGGTTTCATCATTTGCATAAATTTTCTCCCATTCCATAGGTTGTCGTTTGGATTTTTTTTTTTAATACTAAATACTACAGTGGCACACAATCGACCTGCAGCTGTTTGAATCTGTGGGTGCCAAACCGCAGATACAGAGAAACCACTTATACAGAGGGCTGGCTATTAATTAAACTTTTTTTTTTTAACTATTGGAAGGGTTGGTACCCTTAGCCCACATGTTGTTCAGTGGTCAGCTTTGTATCCAAACCCTATCCATTCTTCAGGGACAGTTCATCTGTTTCCTTTGTGACACTTTCCTTGATTATATGAAATGTCCTCTTCTCCAAATCACTGTGATTCCTGCTAATGCCAGTATTTTCTCAAACATGAGTAATGTATATCACCATTTAAAAGGTCAGAAATCCCACTTCTCTGAGCTAAAACTAGCGGGGAAACTTTTGAACAGTGGTTTGATCAGAGAAGGAGGACACTTAACATTGGTTTCTGTTTTTCAGCAGGGAATTAACCATATTACTTTGCATGTGATCTTTTTGACATAATTTTGGAAGTTTTATTTAACTCGCTTTTATGTAAGATATTTGTGCTCACTGAGTACACAGACTCTCTTACCTTTCTTCTATACAAATAGGCAGTAAGCGTTTGTTTCTGTTTTCATTGCTGCATATTTTGTCCACGTAACAAATGCTAGTGCTTGTGTGATTTGTTGTTACTAGAAATGGTTAAATTGTGTAAGTAGTATTCACTAATGGAAATTATGATTTGAAAAACACAAGCCTCTGATTCCGCCAGGTGGGGTGTCTGCTACCTTTTTGGTATACACCAAACAACTGTGAATAGTTTCATGAATTTGAATAATTGATCAGTAGGAGACAACGCTGGGATTAGCTGTTGTGCCTTTTAAAAACTAGCTTTGAAATTAGACTTGTGTCAGGGCTAGATGGAGCTACACAGAAATACTAAGAAGAATATTAAATATTATTTTAATATAATTTTAAATCATATGTATTTTTGCCACAAGTTGGCATCTACTCTGTCACTATTCTGCACCAAGTGAAGTCTTGATTTTGACTTTTTCTGCACGTCTTCTCTTCCAACTTTGTCTTACCTTATTTCACTTCAAGCATTACATCCCTAATGCCTGCTGAAAAAACTTTCCTGAGAAACACCTCAGTGTGTCTTGCTTCTAGCTGTCTGACACCTTCCAAGGTGACACAGATTGCTTGGTGTGGCCTTACACTTACTTGTCTCCAGCCTCAGTTGCAAAACGCTTTGTTAATCTCCTCAGGGAGTGTTTGGTCTCTCTGGTCCTACACTCAGCTGCTCCAGGGGCCAGATGCCCGCAGCTGTGTGCTCTCCAGATGCATTTCCTCCTTCCCACACTCGCTAACTTAAAGGAGTGCCATGAACAGAATCTGAAGTTGCTTGCTCTGTTCCAAGATTCACTGTGTTTCTAACTGGGCTGTCCCAATTTACTTTTTTCTCCCCTCGTAATTCATAAGATATCAGGGAGCTTTTTCACCGAGAATACAGTCGCCTCTTTGCTGTATTCTCAACATCTTTCCAGGAAACTTCTCCGTTGGAAATGATGGCAGCTTTTATACGTACATTTTTTTCTTTATATAGGTATTGAAATAGCATAGCAAAAACCAAAAGAAAAAGAGGGCAAGTCAATTAAGAAAAGAAAAATTCAAAGAACTCGAGGTGTATCTCATGTCTTATTGACTCTTACAGGTTATGTAGAAGTGCTGGTGATACCTGCGGGAGCAAGAAGAATCAAGGTCGTGGAGGAGAAGCCGGCACACAGCTACCTAGGTAACCTGTGTTACAGACACAGAGCCCAGCCAAGTTCAAGCCTGGCTGCCCTGCCCTGAGACTTCTGTGGTGGCCAGGATGTCAGTGTGCTTCTAGTCACACGTTTGAATTTCCTGGGAAGCACTTCTTGCCATATCAAGTAGGAATTTCTTTCCCTCCCTCCCAGGGACTTCCTAGGAGCAAAAGCAATCTGGTTATGTATTTTGAGGGGTTATAAATTACTTCCACATGTTTGTCCATGTTCAGGAACAAACACTCAGTGGAGGACTTGGGGATGCTTTATTTCATATATTGCACATATATTTCATATTTACACACACGTGAATGTCCAGATATTCATGTTTATTGCATTGCAAATGCATATATAAATGTGTGTGTATCTATATAGTGATTGCTTTAGAACTAGGAAATCTTGTGGAACCCTCAAAAAAAATTTCTGTGTACTAGAAGGATTTGATTTTTTTAATGGGAGGTGTTGCTCTCTTTTGCTTCACTTCAGGTGTACTTATTTATGAAGAAGGTATTTTAAAAAATTGTAACTGAAGAAGTTGACTTACAATATTGTATTGGTTTCAGGCAATGTGCTTTGACATTTGCATACGTTATGAAATGATCACCACAGTAGGTCTAGTAGCCATCTTTCCCCAACAAAGTCATTGCAATATTATTGACCGTCTTCCTTTTGCTAGGTATGACATGACCATGGCTTCTTTATTTCATTACTGGAGTTTTTTACCTCTTAGTACCTTTCACCTATTTTGTGCACCCTGCACCCTCTGGCAGTCACCCGTTTGTTCTCTGTATTTAAGGGTTTCTTTTTGTTTTGCTTATTTGCTTATTTTGTTCTTTAGACTCCACATCATGTAGTATTTGTCTTTCTCTATCTGACTTATTTCACTTAGCATCATACCCTCTAGATCCAAACATTTGTTACAAATGGCAAGATTGCCTTTTCTTTTAGTGAATGAGTAATATTCTATTGTGTATGCATACCACATCTTCTTTATCCATTCATCTACTGATGGGCACTTAGGTTGCTTCCATACCTTGGCTTATTGTAAATAATGCCGCAGTGAACACTGGACTGCTTATATCTTTCTGAATCAGTGTTTTTGTGAAATTGCTGGATCATGAGGAAGGTCTGTGTTTAATTTTTTGAGGAGCCTCCATACTGTTTTCTGTATGGCCATGCCAATTTACAATCCCATCAACAGTACGTGAGGGTTTCCTTTTCTCTGCATCCTGGCCAACACTTGTTATTTGTTGTCTTTTTGGTGATAACTGTTCTGACAGATGTGAGGTGATATATTATTGTGGTTTTGATTTTCATTTCCCTGATGATTACCAATGTTGTGCATCTTTTCATGTGCCTGTTGGCCATCTGAATGTCTTTTTGGAAAAATTTCTCAAGTCCTCTGCCCATTTTTCAATTGAGTTGTTTGAGTTTTTTTGATGTTGAGTTACGTGAGTTGTTTGTATATTTTGGATACTAACTTTTCATAGGATGTATCATTTGCAAGCATCTTCTCCCGTACAGTAGGCTTCCTTTTCATTTTGTTGATAGTTTCCTTTGCTGTGCAGAAGCTGTTTGATTTTACCTAGTCCCATTTGTTTATTTTTACTTTTAATTCCCTTTCCTGAGGAGATATACCCCCCAAAATATCGCTAAGACTGTCAAATAGCATACAGCCTATGTTTTCTTCTAGGAGGTTAGTGGTTTCAGTTCTTACATTTAAGTCTTTAATCCATTTTGAGTTTATTCCTGTATAGGGTATGAGAAAGTAGTCCAGTTTGATTGTTATACATGTAGCTGTCTAGTTCTCTCAACACTATTTGTTGATGAGTCTTGTTCTTCCATTGTATGATCTTGCCTCCTTTGTCATAGATTAATGGACCACATAAGCATGGATTTATTTCTAGACTCTCTATACTGTTCCATTCATCTATTTGTCTGTCTTTGTACCAGTACCAGGCTGTTTTGATTACTGTAGCTATGTAATATAGTTTGAAAAGAGGGAATGTGGTACCTCCAGCCTTGTTATTGTTTAAGATTGCTTCGGCTATTTAGGGTCTTTTGTGTTTCCACATAAATTTTAGAATTATTTGTCCTAGTTCTTTGAAAAATGCCATTGGTATTTTGATAGGGATTGCATTAAATCTGTTGATTGCCTTGGGTAGTATGGTCATTTTAACAACGTAGATTCTTCCAATCTTTGAGCATGGTCTATCTTTCCATTGCTTTTTGTCGATTTCTCTCATTAATACCTTATAGTTTT